TTCTTGAGCATCAAGTATCATATCTGTGCTAATTTCCCCTGAGATATTTTACTCCACAGGATCTTTGCTTTCTTTCCTCTGAACCCTTTGAGGTATGCTTTCTCCAAACATATAGTACATGTCAGGCTACATGCAAATATCCTGTTTTCTTCTATCACAAATGAGGGGATAGTGGTTACTTCTTGAAATTCCTATCACTTCCACCCCAGTGGAACAAGTTTAGCTCTGTGGGAAGGAGTCAGATCCAGATACATATCACCCTTGTTTTTTCCTTCAATTTCTGAAGGATAAATTACTGCTAAGGTAAGTAAAACAATTATTAACTGTGCTGCTTTTGACTGGAAGAGAGAAGTAATGCTCCAGCAAATCTTTGGATAATTGAAGTCCCTTATTGCTACTATAGCATGTGCCATGCTTTTTGTACTTTCCCCAAGCTCCTCCTGTCTTTGCTTTTTCTGTTCAGTTTGTCTTTCTCCAACCAATAATAAAATCAGTTCTATTTCTTCTTTTGTTAATTGTCACACAAATATTATCTACTATGTTTTCCCCAATTCCTGATCTTAATATACTTTCTTGATATATAATGTTCTTCACCCTTTTTTAAAAACTATGTTGTTTCTTTTAAATAAACGATACTCATCTAGAACCACAGTCCTGCCATGAGTTTTATCCTACCAACTCTCTGTGATACATTTGAGGTAAAACTTCCTCTTGTTTGTTGCCTAAATTTTGGGCATTTGTGTCTAAACACTTGAGGGTCACTTGAATTTTTTTTCTCTCATCATAGCCTACTCTCTTAACATTTAGATAGCATCCTTTGTTGTATTTAATGCTTTTTCCTCTGTCAACCTGATGTATTATAGAATTTAGACCTAGAGATAGTCTTTCAAATTTTCCTCAATTTCTTCAAGTTTCTCCTCTATAACTTCAATGTCTAACCTACTTCATAAGTCAAAATTCCTCAGTATCAGCTATTTAATTTACTTCTTATTTGGTGTAAGTCCTTCTCTCTCCTCATATTCCCTTTCCTACTACTTTTTCCCAAAGAAGCCAGAAGAAAAACTACTACCTCTGAGTGGTTGGCATTCTCTGAATGCTCTGCATCAAATGAGGTAATGTTTGTAAAGTGCTTAGCACGTTGTCTGAAATTCCTCCTCTCTACCTTCTAAGTGATCTTCCTAAAATATGTTACCCAGATTTTAATACAGTATTATACAAGTGGTTTGACAGATGGAAGCTCACATAAATAAGGAAGGGAAGAATCTTCTTTAATAACTAATGCAATGTAAACTAGAAAGGTTATACAATAAATACTAGAATCATAACTCCATTACTAAGTGTCTATTTTAAAACTTTTACTCTTAATTTCTATGCAAAATTTGTTTTCAAATAGAGCTAACCCTAAGAAAACTTATGAAAATAGTGTAAGTTGTTTTTTGGTGTCTTCCCATATTCCTTTATGTGTCTCTTCCTTATACTCCCCCTAAAAGTAAAATATAACATTACTATTAGATTTGCAGATGACACAAATTTGTGACGGGACATCACAATGGGAATAGATACCAACTGGCAACTTTGTCAGCAAGTATCCAGTTAGAATTCACAGATCCAGGGCAGACTCAGAAGAGGACCTCTGCATGGAGATGGCTTTCCTGGATAGGAAGGCCATGGGTCATATACTGAGAAAGGAACAAGTTCAGAAGCAAGTAGGATCAGTATGGCTCAATCTCTAGGAAGAGAGTAGTATCTCAGTCCCAGCATTTAGCCTAGTCTGCAGAGGACTACCCAGGGCAAGAATTCTAGACCAAATTGCAGCCTACAGTTCCATCACTGAATCAACAATGCTTTTGAGCAGGCTGATAGGGGCAGAGTACAGCAATATTTACTATTACTCAGTCAAAAACTTAGGTGAGGAAGTTTTTGCAAAGTTCTGACTAGGTTGGGGTTGGGGGTGAGGGTTGGGACAGGCAACAATCCTTTCAGAACAATGCTTTGGATCATACCACTTTAGGAGTACTAAAAGTTCCTCAGCCTGTTCCTGAGATCCTGAAATAACCCAACCCTCAATACCCAGGGAAAGAAACAACAGCCCAGTGCAGACCTTCCTTCCAGAAGTGCAACAGAGCCCAGCCCAGATATTAAGTCCAAACTCAAGAAGTAGGCAGGATGAATGAGCAAACAAGTGAAAAGTATCCCACCATAAAGAATTACTAGAATGGCAGGGAAGCCCAAGACCTAAAACTAAAAGAGAATGACTCCAAAACATTTACATGCAAAGTCTCAGAGAAAACACAGCTTGGGCACAAATTCAACTACAGAAGTGCCTGAAAGAGATGAAGCAAGAGGTTTTTTTTTAAAAAAATATTTTATTTTTTTATAAATGGAATAAGGTCAATTGATGAAAAATTGGAAAAGAAATGATACTAATGGAAGAATGTAACAAACTCCCTGAAAATTAGAATGGACCAAATAGAAGCCAGTGACTCAAGGAGGAAATAAGAAAGATTTAAAACAAAGTCAAGAGACTGAAAAAAAAATAGAAGAAAATGTAAAGTATCTCATAGGGGGGATAAAACTATCTGGAAAACAGATGAGAAGAAAATATTTAAGAATCGTTAGACTGACATCATGCCATGGCCAAAAAGAAAAAGAGCCTAGATATACTATTTTAAGAAATCTTTAAAAAAAAAACTGCCCAGATCTCTTAGATCAAGGGAGCAACATAGAAATAGAAAAGGACACACCAGTGACCTCCTGAAAGAAACCCTAAAATAAAAACACCTAGGAAAGTCATAGCCAAAATGCAAAGTTTCCAGGTCAAGGAAAAAAGCATTCAAGTGCTGAGGAGCCTAGTTAGGATTTCATGCTATTTAGCAGGAACCACAGAGGAACTGAATACTTTTTGCCATTGTGGAATACAGTATTCCAGAAAGCAAAATATATGAGCTTACACACCAAGAATAATTTATCCAGCAAAACTGAGTGTAATACTAAAGAGGTGGGGTGGGGAGAATGCATCTTTTATGAAATAGAAAACTTTCAAGAATTCCTGATGAGAACTACCATAAATGAGTGGAAACTTTGAAATTCAAATGTGGAAAGAGAAATATAAAAAGGTAAATATGAATTAACAATGCTAAAGCACTAAGCAATCATAAACTGCTTACATTCCAGTATGGGGAGATGATACAGGTATTCCCTCTGAACCATATCATCAGGGATCATAGAGACAGTCCAAGTAGACATGACCTGGGAGTGGTTTTCTTATGTGTTGATTGTCATGTCTTGATGATATTAAGAGAAGAATGCAAAGAGAAAAAAGGAGAAATACACTGGGGAAGGTGAGAAGGGAAAGGAAGGTGAAGGAAAATTGTCTCATAAAATCATGATGTACATGTACATATTAGAGAAGGAAATGACAAACCACTTCAGTATCTTTGCCAAGAAAACCCCAAATGAGGTCATGAAGAGGCATATGACACTGAAATGACTCAACAACAATAACAACAAATACACATCTATACTAACAAGGGGAATATACACACAGAGAATGGAAATGCATTTCACTCAACAGGTGTGGACTATTGTTGGAATTTAAGAAATAATGAAAGGAATGGTTTTAGAGAAACCTGGAAAGACTACTATGAACTGATGAAGAGTGAAGTGATCAAAATGAAGCAAATAATTTATGCAATGACAACATTATGGTAAAGGCAAACAATTCTGAAAGATTTGGTACTCCTATCAGTATAATGATCAACTATGATTCCAGAGGACTAATGGTAAATCCTGATAAAAAGATGAAACATTTAGAGTGCAGAATGATGTAAAAAACATTTTGGCTATGGCTAATAGGGACATTTCTTTTCATTGACTATACATGTTTATAATGCTTTTCTTTTGTTCTCAGTTGGGGTGGGGTTGGAATGAGAGGGTAATAAGGTGGATTTTTGTTGATGGAAACAAATAAAATGTAATTCAGAAAAAAAAAGTCAGAAAGGGTAAATCAGAATGAAAAATTTTAGAGACACCAAGGCCAAGGGGAGCATTGGCCCTCTCCTATAAACATAGAGACCTAGAGGACTTACATGACTTACTCAAAGTCATACATTTAGCTAGTGGTAGAGTCAGGCTGAATTAACTTGCTAAGGGCTAAGACTCAGAGTAGACATAAATAATACTGCTGGTGAATGACAATTCCCAGCATACAGTTGTGTGCTTCCAAAATAAAAAAATCTTATCTTCAAGAAAAACTTTTAATTCCATTTGCTGGAGAGTACACAATTGTAAAGGGTTCCCTTCATGTTTAGCTATTTCCTGTGTCCTAATCAATGAGGCACTTGGTATTGGCACATGGCCACACCTGCCTTGCCCATACTGCCATTTGGAACTGTTCATGAGGCTTTCTGACAAGCTTCATTTCCTGAGAATTGTAACATGATCTGATTATCCTTAAATGCATTTTTGTGTTTTCTTAGGTAAGGCTGGTGGTCCTCACATAAACATTGTAATAAATAGTCTTCTCAAGGATGGACAGAGGACATTTTCCTTGTCTGATATTTCAAAGTCAGAAAATTCTTAATCTTTAAAAAATCAAAACATCTCATGCAGGAAACTATTTTTTATATCTAATCCTCAGAATATGTGAATAAGAATTACTACCCATATTCCTTTATTATTTCTTTTCAGGGAGGGCTAGTCCCATTTCAATAATTGTCTTCCACCTGAAAATGTTAGATAGAATGTGTGAGAGCCAAATAAGTTATATTAAACTTTGTCTTCTCAAGTGCATATAGAAAATTATTTTAACAGTTAATGTTTTGGTGTTCAAGGATGAAAGATGTGAAAATGTTTTGTCTTTTAAGTTTGAAAAGGTATTTTTTATTTTTTAAAAATGCTGATGAAAATATTTATCCATAAAAGTTTTGCCAACAAAAAAAAATAGAATCATCAATGCACTACAAAATATATCTCCCTGAGAGTAATTTTTTTTATTTTAGTTTTACGGGAACCTTATACAGTCCGTGTGGAGGACCAGAAAACCATGAGAGGCAATGTAGCTGTCTTCAAGTGCATTATCTCCTCCTCTGTGGAGGCATATATCACTGTTGTCTCATGGGAGAAAGACACCGTCTCACTTGTCTCAGGTAGGGTGTCTCCCAAAATTTTATTTCTGTTGGTGTACATCCCTGATTTGTCTGAGGTGTATTTTATTTCAAATCTTAAAGCTAAATGAAATGCTTATTTCTGTTACAATAAAGGGGGAAGTAATAAGGTGGAGTTCCTTGAAAGAAGAAATTGTTTCAATTTTGCCTTCTTATTCCCAACACTTATCACAGTGCCTGACATATTGTATTCACTTAGGAAATTCTTGTTGATTGATGGAAGTGAATTTCATGTTGGTGATGATTTTTAATTATGATGAAAACTTTTAAATTATTTTGCACCTCTCACCCCCCCATACTTTCTTTGTAGAGTCAATATGCATTTAGACTGATAACAATCACAGAATTTTTCATTTTTAATGTAGTAGAGTAGAATTAATTTCAGAAAACTATTTGTGTTCTGTGTTTATTAGTCAGTGAGAGAGATTTAAATTATGATGTTCTGAATAATATTGCTTTTAGTCTAAACATTGTAGAACTATAAAATTCTGATTTCATCTTAATCTCAATGCTTGTTTTTCGTACTGAAAATTTGTGATTAATTCTCTATGGTCTTAAAGGGTTTTTATTAAAATGTGAACTCTATGGTAAAACATAGTTATCTTTACAATAAATATTTTTTTACTGAACCAACATGCTTTGTCATCTCAATACTATACAATTAAAAAGGACTTATTGAGAAATTTCTGCTGAAATATAGTATTTAAATTTGTCTTATCCTTGAAAATTTCTTCTTAACCCTTGTAGTTATTTTCTGCTTAGAGAATTATGGTAGTGAGTTGGGTTTTGTTTTTAGGCATCTTTAGGCTTCTAGGCATCTATATCTTAATTTTTAAGCATTTAGACCCCAAAAATGATGTTTTTAATACTAGTAGTGGGAGACAATCTGCCTGAATAGGAGCTTCACCAAGAATTACTACTTATTTGCATGACTTAAATTAGCTTCAAAGCTCTGTGATTTGAAAATAGATTTAGGTGGTCTTCATGCCTAGCCTTGGGCTAATTTATATATGCTTGGATTAATGGGAAAAAATAAATGCTGATAGTGAGAACCATTTCATCTCATTTCTAGCTTTTGTCTGGACCTTCTGGGCTATATATATATTTAAACTTCGCATGTTTCTTTGATGGCTTGGACTATTTCTTTGTTGGTGTTACAGAATACAGGGAATGAGCTCACTTCTTTTCTGCCCCATTAGTCAATATAGGTTATTCCTCACTCAAGATCAAAGTAGTAGCTTCAGATTATTTTTAGAGAAGGGAGTCTTAACCTTCCTTCTTGGGAAGTTACTATATTATTCTTGGAATAGCTTGGATTTTGGCAGTGTGTTGAAATCTATAGTCCTCTTCTTAGAATAATGTTTTCAAAAGCATACATAGGATTTCAAAGGAAATCAATTATATTGAAATATCTTTATAAAATTTATTTTTAAGTTCATAGACCACAATCTAAAGGATACAGTATATATAAAATATGATTTAACTCAAAGTCTCGCTATATTAAACAGAAAGCAAAATTCAGGATTCTAAATAAATACATACACATGTGTGTGTATGTATATATATATATATAGATAGATAGATAGATATACATACACACACACACACACACACACATGCACACATTCTGTGGAGTCTGAATATGTTTTCACTTTATACTTTTTTCCAACCTGTACATTACAAATCCCATAGCATTTTGGGATTTTTTTGTCTTAAAAACAGTGGTTTTTTAGTTGTTGTTTTTTTACCCATTCTGTGTGTTTGTGATTATTTATATGTGATTTTTGTTTATTAATATTAAATAATGTGTATGGGTATTCCAGAAATACAGGTATGCCTTAGTTCATTGAAATAAAAACACAAATTTGTTATTTTAGTCTGATCATTAATACCAATGACAAAGAAATTTCTGTCAAGCACATAGCAATGGTTATAGTTTTGATAATAATCTTAATGTTTGTTTAGATTTTTAAGGCTGCCTATTCATAATAGAATTGCTTATACATTTCTGAGTGCTACATGACAGTGTGTTTTTGGCACACATAAACTAATAATAAATATTTAGTAAAGTCTAAAGGAAAAAATGCAAGTGAATTAGGCCTAATTATGTACCTTTTGCTGTATCTGTCAGAAACATTCTAGTAGTTGTTTAATGAGATCTCATTTTGCGTTTGCAATGAGTTCTATTTATATTAATATTATGACAATATAGATCATTCTGAACTGAAAAGATGGCTTTTGATTATTATGACTATCTCAGAAAATTACTACTGGTAAATAGGATGTTGTGACATTATAAGATCATTGAGTATGTGTGTTGGGGGCAAGGGAGTGGCAATATTTCCCATGAATAGCAGTATATACAACATAAGGAGTCATAGGTTTGAATCAGAAGACCTGGGCTTAAGTCTTGGTTTTGCCAGTTACCAGCAATATGTAATTACTTGTTCAAGCCATTTAACCACCCTAAGCTTTAGTTTCCTCAACTATAAAAACTGTGAAAGTAATATCTGCCCTGTCTACCTCACAAGGTGACTATTTGGTGATATATGTGAAAGCACATTGGGAATAGTAAAACCACTCTATATAGGTAAACTGCATTTCTTTTCCAGCTGTCTCTTTACCTGAGTGAAAAGGGAAAGGAGAAAAAATGTGATTGCTATAGCAATGGCATTAGACCCTCTTTAGACCTATGGTCTCATCAATACAAATATGCTCTTCAGTGATTCAGATAGTAATCCATTTTTCTTACAAATCCTCCACAGGGAGTCTACTTAAAATATACATAATTATTCTTTAGATTTCTTGTTTAGATACAAATGATACACACATATAAAGGTTATTCATCACTCTTCCTGAATTATTAAGCAACCTTGTTTTTCTAATCACATATTTCTCTGATGGTATGGTTTTTTTTTTGTCATTTTTCTCTACTAAGTTCTTCTTTGGAAATATGTTAGAGCATGTTTGCACATGATATGTGCCTCTTAATTAACATTCAGAAGACTCAGAAATTTAAGTCTCTGGAGGGTGTGGTATTCCATGATTCACAGCCGTATACATTTATGTTGTTGTTCAGTCGAGTCCAACTCTTTCTGACCCTATTTGGGGTTTTCTTGGCAAAGATGCTGGAGTAGTTTGCCATTTCCTTCTCGAGATCATTTTACAGATGAGGAAACTGAGGCAAAGAGGGTTAAATGACTTACAGTCACACACAGCTAGTACATGTCTGAGGCAGGATTTGAATTCAGGAAGTCAGATTTCCTGACTTCAGGCCCAGCACTCTATCCACTGCACCAGCTAGCTGCTAGCATGAATATTGGTGCTAAAAACATGGACCTTTGTTTCAGGTGGTAACTTAGGATCAATAAGAGCACTGTATATTTTATTTTGAATGTCTTATCAATTCTTTGAAAAATATCTATACTTTGTTCATCCTCAACAGCAGGTATTATAGCAAAAGTTGAAATTATCTTCATGGTGGACTTTTTTGGCAAATGTTTCTCATGAGTATCACAATGTTTTTATTCAGTTTCAGTTATATCCTACCCCATTTACGGTTTTTTTGGCAAGGATACTGGAGTGGCTTTCCATTTCCTTCTATTGGGTGGCTAACTGCCTCATAAATATACTTCTTGTTGCCTTTAAATGCAATTGTCATTTCTTTTATTTGTCTCTTCAGATTTTTTTCCCATTTCATTTGTACCAAGAACACTGTTCACCTCCACTAGTAGTGTGTTCATTTATTATTTAATAGAAAAGGATCTAATGTTTAGAGTACCAATAACTAAATTTTTATAAATAATGTAAAGTTAGGATGAATCTAAATATCCTATGCCTCCTTTTCCATCACACAACAACCATCACTTCTAATTCAAAAGACTGCAAGACTTGGGATATTTTATAACTTTCTTTTTTCATGGCTAAGGGAGAGGAGAGGTTGACCAAAGAAATATGTAATCATGTTTAAACTATTTTATTTTTACCTAATTACATGTTAAAACAAATTTGAACATTCATTGCTAAGTTTTGAGTTCCAAATGCTATTCCTTCCTTTATTCCTTCTTCCCTGCCCCACCCAAGACAGTAAACAATCTGATATAGATAATACATGTATACTCATGTAAAATATCTGCCTATTAGTCATTTTGTGGGGAAAAAACAAAGAAAGGAAGGAAGAGGGAAATAGTATATTTTGATCTATATTTAGACTCTGTCAGTTCTTTCTCTGGAGATGGATATTATTTTTCATCATGAATCCTTTGGGATTTTCTTGGATACATTGTATTGCTGAGAATACCTAAGTCATTCACAGTTGTTCATTGTACAATATTGCTATTACTTTGGACAGTGTTCTCCTGGTTCTGCTCAGCTCATTCAGCATCAATTCATGTAAATCTTTCCAGGTTTTTCTGAAATCTACCTGCTCATCATTTATTATGGCACAAATATATTCCATTACATTCATATATCACAACTTGTTCAGCTATTCCTCAGTTGATGGGCATCCCCTCAATTTCTAATTCTCAGCCATCACAAAAGGAGCTGCTATAAATATTTTGTACAAATAGGTTCTTGTCCATTTTTTTTTTACCTCTTTGGGATACAGACCTAGTAGTGGTATTGCTGGATTAATGAGTATGCACAATTTGATGGCCCTTTGTTCATAGTTCAAAATTGTTCTCCAAAATTGTTGGATCCAGTTATGACTCCACCAACAGTGCATTAATTTCACAGATTTCCCAATCCTCTCCAACATTTATCATTTTCCTTTTCTATCATATTAGCCAATCTGATATGTGTGAGTTGATACTACCTCAGAGTTGTTTTAATTTGCCTTTCTCCAATCAATAGTGATTTAGAGCATTTTTATATGACAATAGATAGCTTTGATTTCTTTGAAAATTGCCTGTTCATATCTTTTGACCATTTATCAATTGGGGAATGACTTTTAATTGCTACAGATTTGACTCATATTTGAG